GGGGACTCTGGCAAGCTGAGGGGCCTGGGCGCCGCCATCTTTGTGACAGAGTGACAGTTAATTTGCATATTACTCTTTTATTAGATAGGATAGTTGTTGCTTTACACAGCTTCCCAGCCAGGCACTATGTTTCCTGATGCCAACTACACACAAACTCCACTCACATCTATTGGCCAAAACCAGTCACATGACCATAAACATCTAGGTGGGCCCTTTCCAAACAATGGAAGTGATGTGTGTCTCCTCCAAGCTGTGTGTGCTTTCTCCATAGCATCTGCATATTCGCTCGCAAGCCTGAGATCATCTGCTGAAGATGGCTACCATGTAAGATGGAAGGAACCAAATCCCTAAGTCAATATTAGGAGAGTTGCCTAATCGAGAAGGAATATCTATATTGAATGTTGTATGAGAGAGAATAAAATTTTGTGTTATAACATTGTGTTTTAGAAGATTTTGGTAGAGTAGTTCATCTACCCTGATCAAATGGCAGACATCAAACAAGTATAATTGTAAATATTCTCAGGATCTAAGATGATCTGGGAAAACAGAAGAGCAGCACAAAGAAGAAAAAGGCACAGACACAGAGCAGAAAAACCCAGGAGGGGAGAAATGAGTTCATTTCCTGGGTCAACCCCTAAAAATATCTGCTCTTAGATAAAGCAGTTCATTGGCCTGGCTGGTGTTGCTCAGCGGTTGAGCATCTATCTATGAACCAGGAAGTCATGGTTCAATTCCTGGTCAGGGCACATGCTTGGGTTGGGGGCTTGATTCCCAATAGGGGACATGCAGAAGGCAGCTGACCGATGATTCTCTCTCATCATTGATGTTTCTATCTCTCTCTCTCCCTTCTTTTCTGAAATCAATAATAATTATATTTTTTAAAAGAAAAATCAGTTCATTGGTCTGAAGCAATGTGGACTAAGATAGATAGCTTGGTTATCCAGACAATTATCATTTTGCTAAATATATAGTCAGAAAAAAATTACAAATAATCTTTGCCATGTTGAAAATAAGCAGTGCTAAGGTGGCTTACCTAGCAATTTTAACACAGTATCATATTTTATTTTAATATATTTTATTGATTTTTTTACAGAGAGGAAGGAAGAGGGATAGAGAGTTAGAAACATCGATGAGAGAGAAACATCGATCAGCTGCCTCCTACACACTCCCTACTGGGGATGTGCCCACAACCAAAGTACATGCCCTTGACGGGAATCAAAGCTGGGACCCTTGAGTCCGCAGGCTGATGCTCTATCCGCTGAGCCAAACTGTTAGGGCCACAGTATCATATTTTATCTGTGAGATAACTGGTGAAAAAGATTGGGCTGAAGAAACCCAGAGAAACATTCCAGGGGAAAGGATAAGGTAGGAAAACAATGCAAACCTGAAGATTCAAAGTATGAGAAAGACAGAAGTTACAAAGTAGTTTCAAAAAAGGAATAGAAGTTTATAGATTTCAGGATACTTTTTTTAGAGCTAGAAATTAGAGATGGTAGAGATAAATGCGTTGAAGGCTTAAGAAGTATATTTATTCATCTATTAGTTTATTCAACAAATATTTACTGAGCAACAACTATATGCTGTGTCTGTGATTGACACCAGGGAGAGAATAATTGTGAATAAGCCCTTTGGAGTTCATAGTCTCCTTAAACAGAAAATAAAAAATTGTGATACATACCATCCTATTCTTTAGAATGGCAACTGCTGATTCAAAAATATAGTCAAGGCCAGTGGAGAAAAGGAGCATGTTCCTCTCCCACCACAACTCTGTCTCCCTAAGTTCTATGTTAGCAATCTGAAGAGGACAAATTGGCTGAAGAAAGAGAAAATTCTAAGACTTCAACAGACCATGACAAAAATAGAGCTAAATAATTATTTCTAAGAAAATGAAATTACTTTTTATCACCACACACTGAATAGCTTTCCTGATTGTTCCCTGTAAGTCTGTAATAGCAGTGGTCGCAGAACGCACAATTCCTGATAATAGACAATACGACTGAAAAAATTAGTCTCCTGTGTGCAAAATAACATTTTGCTCTCTCTGGACCTTTGCCAAACAGAATACCAGTGCAGGCTAATTACACGAGCAGGTGAAAACTATCTGTGTACTGGAAAGCCATCCCCTAAAGAATAGCCCAGAAAAGGTCTTAGTACCAAACACAAAACAACAGAAAAAAAAGCAAGAGAGCAAACATGAGAGCATATGCACAGGCCTTTTCATTAGCATCCTACAGTTAACCATTTTTGTGGATGCACATAAGAGTTGTCAAATTCTCTGCCTTAGAAAAGAACACCTTCCAGGATGCAAGAATTCTCCCCCCCTCCGCCCCCCATGCTGAACCAAGTGCTTTGCTCCAAGGCACAGCTTTGGACCAGCCTTACGTTGAGGACTTTTGTCACTTTGAGGTGCAAAAATAATTCATGTCAGAAAGAGAGTTGAAGAGTCAGAGGCAACTTTCACACACTGATTCACATGTTGGGCAAGGAGTACAACTGGCTTGTCACAGGCGATGGTAGAGCAAGGACCAGTTTTTCCAAGTTCTACTCTTCATGAGGCGTGATGCCATTCATCTGCAAGAGGTTTCGAATTTGAGTCCCTCAGGGGAAGTTTCAGAAAGAGCTCAAGAAACAACAAATGGCTCCAACATGATCAAAACAGATGTGTAGCCCCATATATAATGCATGAGCTACTTTACATCCACCCCAAATCCAATGAATTTATTGTTTGAGAAGAGAAGCATTGGTAAGTGTTCATTCTTGCCATCTGCGGTAAGCGAGGGTCCTGGCAGGAATGAGGGCCCAAATTGTGTCATTTAAGAAAAGCTTAAAGAAGGGGTATTCCCTAAAGGTGTGGGCCAAATGTAGGAAAATCCATGTACAGTATCAGGGGACTATTTATAGCCTATACCTAAGCTAAAGAATCCAGGGAAGAGGAGAGGAGGGAAGGAGATGGGAGGGGAGGGGTTCTAACAAAAGTCAAGGCTTTCATTCAGGATGCAACAGCTTCCTTCAGTCAAGGATGTAGCTGACCTGGAGGAACACCACAATAAGAAAGCTTCTTTCCTTATTTTCTTTTTCTGATCAATTTCTAGTGCTCCTCTCTGGGTCAAATCCAAGGAAAACCAGGTCACAAAGGAGCCTATAGATTGAAGTCCTTGTAGGTTGGCCTCCCAGAGCAAAGAATGACCCAGACAAAACCACAGTGAAGAGAGAAAAGTGGGTTAGGTGTGGCAAGTGGAAGGTCCTCAGCACAGGCCGTTTCTCCGGGAAGCTTAGGGCCCATCAGCTGGAATTTAAGGAAAAGGAAACAAAAATTTGAAGAGGGCTATCCTTTTGTAATAAACTGAGCTATCGTACGGGATTGGATTGTCCAACGAGACTAATTCATATCAGAGATCTCGCCTAGTATCAGGCTTTCCTACTCAGGTCAAGGATCCAGTCAGTCAAGAGTCTCAGACAAAGCAGAGAGGAGCCTGGGACAGCAAGGATGCTCCGTGGTCCTGTCTTCCTGCACTGGGCATGCACCTTGGCTTCCAACAGTAGGCGAGGTCTCGGAGTGGGTCCGTGGGGTCCCTGGCACAGCAGGAAGATTTAAACTACGGCACAGTTCCCTTCTACCCAGGGACTTGGATGGCTTAGGACAGTGGTTCTCAACCTTCTGGCCCTTTAAATACAGTTCCTCATGTTGTGACCCAACCGTAAAATTATTCTCGTTGCTACTTCATAACTGTAATGTTGCTACTGTTATGAATCCTAATGTAAATATCTGACATGCAGGATGGTCTTAGGCGACCCCTGTGAAAGGGTCATTCGACCACCAAAGGAGTCGCGACCCACAGGTTGAGAACCGCTGGCTTAGGAGCCACTCTCCAGGGAGACCTGCCTCATAAATCCTGGGTCCCATTTACTGTAAATAATCCCTAAGCCAGGGAACAGCCTGTTAGGGGCTCTCAACCAGTAAGGACACTTTCTCCCAGCAGATATCATTAGCCCCTAACCCAGAGGTGCAGTTAAAAAGAGATTAGACCAGGTTGCCTACACACAACCTCCCACACCCCCAGGGAAGGGAGTGAATGGGTTTCAGGCAGCCTTTTTAACTCCTTCCTCCCACAAACACTATGCTTATATTTAAAAGAGTAAGAAGTGTGTGTGTGTGTGTGTGTGTGTGTGTGTGTGTGTGTGTGTGTGTGTGAGAGAAGAGAGGGAGGGAGAGAGAGAGAGAGAGAGAGAGAGAGAGAGAGAGAGATTTTCAGGGGGAAAAAGAGAAAATATATAACAATATGGAGGAGGGAAGGTCACTGGGCCCCTTGCATGAACCGGCCTGAGGAAACTTGCTGTACCTGTTACCTGAATAACCTTCCACCTTTGTCCGTCAAGCCCACAGCAAAATGCAACTGCAGTGAGTTTTTTAAGGGAGATCACAGGTGTAACCAAGGCCCCACCCCAAAGGCGCCTTCTGGGCCAGCAACTTCAGGCCTGTTCCTTCCCACATGACAGGAGCAAGGCAGGGCCGCTGCCCTCTGACCCCAGGCCACCTCGGCGATTCTGTCTGAAGCTCTGTAGCTTTTAGATCTCCTTTTCCCCAGTTTGGAGAAGATGGTGTCAAGAACTCTCTAGAAATACAGGATTGTAAGCAGGTGTGGGGAAGTGTGCCACAGCCGGGATTTGGGGTAAATCTGCTAATCCTTTGGGATTGCAAGCACTTTAATATAAGTGAGCATTTTTCTAAAATCAGGTCCAGAATGTTTACAGGGTTCTCAAAAAGACTGCGGGCCTATGAAGTTTAGCCTGCAGAACTGCACAGTTCTTACTGAATGTGACCCAGGGCAGGATGAGTCCCTGCCGCCGGGGTCTGACCCTGGGCCGCACTGCCCGGCTCCTGGCCCGTCCTCCTCACCCAGGGGAGCATCCAAGCTCAAGGTCAGGCCTGAACAGTCTTAGTTTCTGGATGATTTCAAGCATGCTATAAAATATTTAGAATATAAAAGTGTAGAACTTACCTTTTCGTCTTGTTAGAGAGCGTCTGGAAGCCATCTTGCAGGTTTGTGCACCTCTCCGTTGGCTGGAGCAACTTATTCAGATAGGTGCTGTTTCATGGAAGAGATTTTAAAGAAAGGTTGATTTAAAATGAGAGCTTACAAGATGCTGTTAACAGAAACCAGATTTAATTGCTAAAGTGTGCTCAAATGAAGTCTGGTTTGTATTCCATTATTAGATTTCTCGGTGGAAAAGGAAATTGATATTTTCACTTCTGATGGGTCTAAAAAAGAAATCTCACACTATAATGTCAAAAAGAAAAGAACTCCTTTGGAAGATGTTATATTATCATGTTTTCCTATTTTGAAGTTATTATGTGCAATGAACGCGTTATTGAATAGTTTAACCATTGTGTGTGTGAGCAGACTTTATTTTTAAAAGATGTTGTCTCTGGTAGGAGGCATGCAGGCACAGGAGATCAACAGTTCTCTCCAAAAAGAATGCAAAGTAAATCTGGCCTTTGATTATTATAGTAGCCACGAAATAGGGCCTTTTGCAATAGCAACTTCCTAATAGCTATTGCTTTATGAACTTGAAAAACTGGAGCTGGAACAAAACCAAATACAAAAGTAAGGCCCTGGTCAGTGTTTCTCAGTAGCTAGAGCGTCAGCCAGAGCACGGGAGGGTCTCAGGTTCGATACCCAGTCAAGGGCACGTACTAGGGTTGCAGGTTCAATCTGGCCCCAGTTGGGTACGTGTGGGAGGCAGCTAATCAATCAATCAAGCAATCAATGTATCTCTCTCACATCAGTGCTTCTCTCCCTCCCTACCTTCCACTCTATCTAAAAATCAATGGAAAAATATCCTCCTGTAAGGACTAACTAAAGCAAAAAAGCAAGGGGTTATGGAGTCAGGCTACCTACGGAGACTCGTGGACGTGTGCATCCTACTTAACCACTCCAGCCATCAGCTTCCACATCTCCAGTCCTTCCCTCATAGTGTTATTGTCATGATATGTACAATGACATGGAAATGGATGTAAAGCACTCGACACCATGCCTGATACAGTAAATGCTCAAAAACGTGTAACATCATTTTCCTTAGCCTTCAAATTGTGCATACAACTCCGACTACTATCAATCCATTTATTTGACCATCCTGAAGGTATTTGCCCAAGACAACTTAATATGGGCTGGGGGCCAGGCACAGGATGCTTAGGATGTGGTAGTGGATAAAGCAGGCATGGTCCCTTTCCCTAGCGGAGCTTGCAGTCTGAGTAGGGAGAAAGATACATCAAACCAAAAACCACACAAGTGAATATAGTATAGAATTATGAGCTGTGATTAGGATCATTAAAACAGCAGTGGGTGCCTTGGAGGAGTGTAATGGGGAGACCCCTGCATACTGGGGGGCCCCTGAGATGGTATCCTTTTCCGTGGTCAGCAAACCATGGCTCGAGAGCCACATGCGGCTCTTTGGCCCCTTGAGTGTGGCTCTTCCACAAAATACCACATGCAGGCACGCACGTACAGTGCGATTGAAACTTCGTGGCCCATGCGCAGAAGTCGGTATTTTGTGGAAGAGCCACACTCAAGGGGCCAAAGAGCCGCATGTGGCTTGCGAGCCGCAGTTTGCTGAGCTGCATTTTGCCGACCACTGCTTTAGGTGATGATCTCAAGGATAATCCAAATGAGCTAGATGAACTTTGGGAAGTGTGTGTTTGGGGACGGGGAGGGGGACTTTCAGGCAGAGGGGAAAGCATGTGCAAAGGCCCCAGAATGTAACCCAGAATGTTTGAGGAATTGGAAGAAGGCAGGTGGGTCTCACAGCTAAAGGCTAACGGGTGTTTGGAGTAAGTAGGGGCTGGAGCACACAGGCCTGGTGAACCATGTTGTGAATTTATCTGCATAAGGAGCAATAGAAGGTTTAGGGCAGGAGAGTGATGTGACCCAATGTATGTTTTAAGAGGTTCACTACACAGAAGAATGAAATGGGAGGAAGTAGGATACAGAAAATGTGATCAAGTTAAGAGGGTTCTAGGGGAGAGATGATGGCCACTGAGACTATGATGTCATAAAAAACACCCAACTCACAGTTGTTTTACATGAAAAAACTCTGTTAACTTGCTCATGAAATGCCCACTGCATGGCTGGGTGGCTTTCCAGGGCAGCTGTGCACCTTCATTTCAACAGCCAGCTTCCATAACTGCTGCAGCAGAAGATGCCGGATGCAGCCTTACCCTGGGTCTGAATGCTCTAGCTCGGCCAGAACTAGTCACATGCCTGGCCTGGTCGCAATGTGGGAGTCAGAAAAGCGCGCCCGTCCCGAGTGCCCAGAAAGAGAGGAGCCTGAGATACAGACATGGCCCTTGGCACCACACTGCCCAGCAGCCTGAGAGCAGCCACCAGATGTAAGATCTATTCTGGAGATAAGACTGACAGGACTTCAAAATAAATTGGATGTGGGAGGTGAGGGAGCAGGAGGTGTACAGGCAGAGATATAAACAAGAAAGTTCCATAATTAATTCTCCAATATTTCTCAGAAATGCTTTCCAAAAACACTGTGCACAGAGTACATATGGGCTCATAAAATCCCTCTTTACCCTGATATGATTTTTCTCCCCTCCCCCACAGCCGTCCTTCATCTCCCTCCTTCTGTCTACATGCCTCACCTTCTGTGCTTCCTGAATGTGTAATCATACTTTCCAAGGATTTGTTTATTTCTAATTGGCTGTGTATTTTATTTGGGCAGCACCGTTAATGAAGTGAATTACCAAGCCAGCAGTGCTTTGAATTATGATGGCTTTGCAATATTGAATTGTAAAACTGTAACAAGCAAGCACCCATAGGATTTAATGTCATATAACTTTCCTTAAATTGGAGAGTATCTTTGTTAATAAAAAGCCCGAACAGTTTCGCCCAACTAAATCACAGACAACGCATGGAAGGCAAGTGAAGTGTCAGGGATAAAGTGGCAATGAGAGAATGAAATCATAGGAAAAGAAACAGCGTCTTAAGGGTCACTAGGCCCAGCCTTTGAACTTGGGCTCCCCTCACTGACAGTGGTCTTTGAACCTAAGGGTTTCCTTTTTAAAATCTTTACTCAATAAAGTAGTTATAGGGGTGCTATAGATGGAAAGTTTGTGTCTCCCTAAATTCACTTGTTGAAATTCCCCCCAAGATGATGGTATTCAGAGGTGGAGCTGTGGGAGGTGATAAAGCTCATGAAGGGGGAGCCCTCGTGAATGGGATTAGTGCCCTTATAAAATCAGCCTGAGAGAGTCCTTGCCCCCTTCTGCCTGTGAGGTGACAGCGAAAAGATGGCCATGAATGAGGAAGCAGAACCTCACCAGATCCCAGATCTGCAGGTGTCAGGATCTTGAATTTCTCAGCCTCCAGAAGTGTGAGAAATAAATGTCTGCTGTTTATAAACCACCCTTTCTATAGTGTTCTGTTTCTGTTATAGCGACCCAAATGGACTGAGACTAGGGTTTATACTGGATGTATTTAAAAACACCTGGCATACAGAAGTCACTAAATAAATGCTGTGTTCTGATTCTCCTAAACACATCAGTGTGTTATTTCCTCAAACCACCCAGGTCATTATTCCCACAGGGGTCAGCAACTGCTCCCACCCATGGAAAGCCACTTCCCAGTGAAAGGAAGAGAAAAGGAAGCCCACTGAGTTCCTCTCTCCTTTCTCTTTCTCTCCTGCCCCTTTTCATTCAAAGAGTCTTCACAGTTTTCTTCCTTTTCATCTATTGTCATTAAAACCTTCCTAGGATCATATGGTAGCTCTATTTTTTTTTTTTTTGAAGAATCACCAGACTGCTTTCCATAATGGTTGTACCGGTCTACATTCCCACCAGCAGTGATGAGGGTTCCTTTTTCCCCACAACCTCTCCAACTCTTGTTGCTTGTCTTGTTGGTAATGGCCACTCTAACTGGTGTGAGGTGGTATCTCATTGTAGTTTTAATTTGCATTTCCCTGATTGCCAGTGAGGTTGAACATCTTTTCGTGTATCTATTGGCTGTGTGTATGTTCTTGGGAGAGGTGTATTTTCAGGTCCTCTGCCCACATTTTGATTGGATTGTTTATTTGTTTGGTGTTGAGTTTTATAAGTTCTTTATATGTTTTGGAAATTAAACCTTTGTCAGAGCTACTGTTTGCAAATACCATCTCCCATCTGGTTGGCTGCCTGGTTGTTTTAGTGAAATAAGTCAAACAGAGAAAGCTAAGAACTGTATGATTTCACTCATATGTGGAATATAAAACTGAAACTTATGAACACAAACAGCAGTGTGGTGGTTGCCAGAGGGAGGAGGTGGGGGAAGAAAGGGGTCATAATATGAGGAGACAGGAGAAGATTTGACTTTGGGTGGTGGGCACATGGTCCTATATACAGATTTTGTAAGTTAGTAACCCACACATGTAACCTATATGTTCATGTTGACTAATGTCACCCCAGTAAATTTTCTTAAATTTTAAAAAAAAAAATGGAAATGTTCTAGAAAATGTCCAAGCATTCACACGCTAATCCATAAACTTCAAACGTTGTCTGCATTAGGCACCTGACCAAGATAGCCCCTCTCACTGCCCTTAGGTAGAGCTCCCAGTTCGTGTTGTTTTCAACAGTGTCTGAAACACAAATCAATAGTGTAACTGCCATGTTTTAAAATGCTTGAAGACCTGACACTGCAGAGATGTTAGGAGTCCCTGGAGAAGGAGGAGGCGTGAGGTCTTCCAGGGAGAGGGCTAGGTCACCCAGTTAGCCTAGAGAGTCACTCCTCTCTGTTGTGTGGATAAGTGAGAACCAGATGTTTTCTTGAATCTGAGTTCATGAGGAGAACCATGAGGGAGTTACTTGCTCTTGGAAAAGGAAAAGAAGAAATCTCCTCAGTTCTGAGTTAAGAGAGGACATGACCTGTGCGGTTGGCACCCACTGCGGATGAAGACAATAGACTGAATCCTCCTTCACTTCTGATTTGGGAACCTCTCTCAGATAAGTCAAAAAGGACAGAGAGAACTTGACTGAGATGAAAGTAGGAATGCCCAATACCTGGAGTCCGGGGTGTCCTGGTGGAAGAAGAGACTGTGCAAGACGAGTGTG